TACTTTGATTAATTGCACTGGTTTTTGTTTGAGATATAATAAACTACACTTTAGATTCGAAATCAGACATTTCATATTTAATGACCTAATAGTCTGGCACATAGCTTTAGACACACTGAGATATACCAAGTCTATGTGCATGATAAATAAAGGATACAGAAATTCCAAGGTCAGAGTAACTCCGATTACACATATTTTTTTTGTAATTTTATTTGGAGAATAGAGCATATCTTTTAAAAGCCAATCAAATTTCATCAAAAATAAACTACCCATGCCTAGGAGACAGTGTGCTGTGGATGATAGCATGTAGCATAGTGTCAACATCTTCACTGGACTATACTTCTGATTTGGTTTAAGTGTATAGGAATAAAAAAAGAGACAATTTTACCTTTTTTTGTTTTTTTTTTTTTTGAGACAGAGTCTCACTTTGTTGCCCAGGCTAGAGTGAGTGCCGTGGCATCAGCCTAGCTCACAGCAACCTCAAACTCCTGGGCTCAAGCAATCCTGCTGCCTCATCCTCCCAAGGAGCTGGGACTACAGGCATGCGCCACCATGCCTGGCTAAGTTTTTCCATATATATTAGTTGGCCTATTAATTTCTTCCTATTTATAGTAGAGACGGGGTCTCACTCTTGCTCAGGCTGGTTTCAAACTCCTGACCTCAAGCAATCCGCCCGCCTCGGCCTCCCAGAGTGCTAGGATTACAGGCATGAGCCACCGCGCCCGGCCAATTTTACCATTTTTTATCCACATTTCACTTTTTGTTCAGCAAGGAGCTATTTGGCAACCTACTGTATACTAGGTGCTACAAATGGAGCAAAAAACAAAAATAATGCCTGTCTTGAAGGAGTTTAGATTCAGTGGGTGGAAGGGATGGTAAGTAACATAGTAAATAAAATAAAGAGTATGTTGGAAAGTGATAAGTGCTTAGGACAAAAAGAATAGGGAAGGAGGATAGGAAGTGTTTGGGAGATCGTGGTAAACATTTTGGTTAGGCTTCACCTGTAGGAGGCGATGAGGTTACTAAAGGGAAAACGCTGTAGTGGGAAGACCTTGAATGTGAGCATGCGTGAGGGGTTGGAGTATTGGCCTGGGGCAGAGGGACCAGGGCAGGCCGAGCAAGGATGTTGCTGGGGTTGAGGTCAGAAAGATGATGAGAATAGAGTGGACTTCAAGGCTTTCAGGATTTTGGTTTTTGCTCTCAGTGAGATGGGAAGCCACTGGATAAATCTTAAAATAGGAGTTGCATGGTGTGACTTACAATTTTTCTCATGATTATCCTGGCTGATTTGTTGAGAATAGACTGAAAGGTTGGATGGAATAATCCAGAGGGGCTTGAGGATAGGGACACCATGGTGACTGTGAAGCACGGGGCACCAAGAGGTCAGACTCTGGATCCAGTGGGAGTCAGAGCCCGTGGGATGTGCTTGCTAATCCAACTCAGACCCTGTGACAGTGAAAAAGGTCAGGATGACTCCGAGGTTTGTGGTGTGAGCAAATGAAAGCCTGCAATCACTAACTGAGATAGCAAAGAATGAAGGCTTGGGGTGGAAAATCTCGGGAGCTCGTGTTCAGTCTGAGGTCCTGACACACGTCTCAGTGACACGTCAAGTAGACAGTTAAATGCACCTAGGGCCTGGGGGAGATGTCTGAGTGCGAAATAGTATTTGCAAGTCTTCAGCTCATTAGTTTGTCATAACAAAGTACCACAGACTAGGTGGCTTAAACAGTAAGAATTTATCGTCTCAGAATTCTAGAGGCCACAAGTTGGAGATTGGGGTGTCTGCAGAGGCAGTTTCTCCTAAGGTCTCTCTCCTTGGCTTGTAGCTGTCTTCTTCTCCCTGTGTCCTCACGTGGCCTCCCCTCTGTGCCTCCTGCACCTTCCTTACTTAATTGTAACTCAATTATCTCTTTACAGATCCTACTTCCAAATATGCCACATTCTGAGGTGCTGGGAGTTAGGACTACAACACATGAATTCAAGAGGGCACAGTTCTGCTCATAACGTTGACATATGTGGCATTTAACATGTGAATCTGGATGAAACAACCTAGGATGGGTTTAGACAGAAAATAGCAAAAGTGCAAGGAGGAGTTTTGCAGCCCTAAACACTGAGGTTGGAGAAGTGGAAAAGAAGATGGAGAGAGAGAGATCAGAGCTGTAGGAGGAAAGGCAGGATGGTGTGTTCTGAAAGGCAAGTGGACAGAGTCTACAAGAAGGAGAGCAGCAGGATCAACTCTGTCAAATGCTGCAGAGAGGCAAATAAGCTGCATTACAAATGCATAATAAGAGCAACAGTGACCCTGTCTAGTCCATTTGCTTTGTAGTAAAGAAATACCCGAGGCTGGGTAATTAATAAGGAAAAGAGGTTTGTTTGGCTCACAGTTCTGCAGGCTGTACAAGAAGCATGGTGCCATGCTGCTCCTGGGGAGGGCCTCAGGAAGCTTCCACTCACGGAGGAAGGTGGCAGGGAGCAGGCATCACATGGCCGGAGGAGAGAGAAGAGAGAGAGAAGGGAGGGACGTGCCAGGCTCTTTTAAACAATCAGTTCTTTCAAAGACTAATAGAGCAGGGAGAATCACTCATGACAGTGAGGATAGCACCAGCTGTTCATGAGGGATCCATCCCCCTGACCAAATCACCTCCCACTAGGCCCCACCTCCAACACTGGGGACCAAATTTCAACATGAGATTTGAAGGTGACAAGTACCAAACACCACCAACAAATAACAATGACAAATTATCAAAAATTGCATCTTTTATTGAATGCTCACTATATATATGCCAGGGGTTTGCTCACCTTATATTTTCTTCATATAATTTCTGTGAGATGAATACTATTGTTATTCTGCATTTTACAGACAATCAGACTGCAGTTCAGAGAGATCAAGTAACCCATCCCATCAGAACCTGCTACACAATTTGCAGGGCTCCCTGCAAAATGAAAACTGAGATCCTTTTTTCAAAAATTACTGAGAATTCCAACATGGCAACATCAGAGACTTAGACCAAGGCTGGCGGAGGATGGCCCCTGGGCACAGGTCACACAGCCAGTCCATCACAAGGCCTCCTCTGTCAGCGTTAGAAGCAGGTGTCTGTGCCAAGGCTGTCTGACTCCAATCTAGCCATTGCCTCGTTTAAATGATCCCTTATCAAAAATGTGAAGGGCTTCCTAGTTTGCTCATAGTTTCACCTAACAGAGCCTCATGAGATATTTACTGAGACTCTACCATTACGGAAAAATATTTAAAAAACCCAGCTCTCTTTTGGCTGGACCCAAATGTTGTTTCGGTCATCTATGTGGGATGAGCGCAGGAAGCTGGGAAGATTGCCTAATGGGAACTTTTCATTTGAAAATGAATTAAGAACTCTCTGGCTTCCAGCTGTGACCATGAAACCCATGCTTCTATGCATGAAACAGGAATGTTAAAAAAAAAAAGTCAGACTGTGTCCAAGTTTGATATTTATTTGAGTTGACACTGTCTGCCACGGGTGCTCATTTCGAGCCCTTCTGAGTGTCTAGAGTGCGTGGGCCTCGACAGCCTCAAATAGACATTGCACCTGTGAAAGCATTTGTTGATTGACATACAAGTTGGCATTAGGAAGTGTAGAATTAAACACTGCTTTCTCACACCTGTGTTTCTCTTGCCTAATATTAAAAAAATATCAATTTTTTCTTACCTTTTCTTTCTTTCCTTTTTTTTCCCCCTCCTGTGAAGCGCCACTGTGCCAATGTTACAGTGTTTTAAATTAGTTTCACCACAGTCATCAGCTTTGTGATTATCTCGGCTTCTTGAACACCTGGTCTGACTTTAGAAATTATTTGCCATCTGGCCAAATACTGAGTAATTATAACAATTTAATGGCAGGATGAAATACTGTTTGATAAGAGCCTTGATAGTCTTTCAAAGAGTGAGGTAGCATTAAATAAAGCTCTGCCATCGACTTAATAAATGTGTTCGCTTTACAGACTTTAAAAATGTTACTTTTAGGGACATCCTTGGGGGATTTCCTTGAAGCTAGTTTCTCTAGACCAGGCATCCTCAAACTACGGCCCATGGGCCACACGTGGGTGTTTTTGCCCATTTGTCTTTTTACTTCAAAATAAGATATGTGCAGTGTGCATAGGAATTTGTTCATAGTTTTTTTAAAACTATAGTCCCGCCCACCAACAGTCCAAGGGACGGTGAACTGGCCCCCTGTTTAAAAAGTCTGAGGACCCCTGCTCTAGACATTGTATCGATAAATGCTTAAAAGGTCACTTCTGAGATTCACTGATATCACACTTACTCAATAATTTTCCAGCACATATTAAAACAAGAACCCATCTGGGGGATGGACACACTTGAAGCTCTGACTCTGGGCGTTGGGTGGGTGGGGGGAGAGACAACACATGTAAACTAAACATTTGTACCCCTATAATATACTGAAATTAAAACAAACAAACAAAAACCAAGAACCCAGATGTAGCTTTTGACTGACAAATGTAAACCTAAAACGACACTAAATCCACTATTTATTATTAGGATCATCTACTTGCTAGAAATGATCTCTTCTTTCAGTATGGAACAGTTGAGAGTGTGGGCTTTGTTCATGGCAGCATTTCCCTGTGAAGAGACAGAGGCTGCCTTTGGAAGGAAGGATGCATTTTAGCGGCAGTGTGTATCTCGAGATTGGACGCTGTTTGAATGATTCAAAATTAGGCGGCCTAATGTGTGCTTAAGAGCACATACTCTGAAGCCACGCTTCCTGGTGTGGACCTGGATCTGTCATTTACTAGCTTGCATTCTTGGCCAAGATAGTACTTAAATCTGTTTTCTTATCTGTAAAGCAGAGTTGATAATAACACCTGAAAGGGTTGGGAATGCACAAGATAGTATTTATTAAGTGCTCTGAATGTGCCTGGCATATAATAAGTGCCATGTAAGTGTTATCAAATGAATGTGACTATGGACTACACACATAGAACATAAAAACAAACAAATGTCCTATGGATAAGAATTGGATAAGATTGCACAAGACTTGGATGGCTAAAAAGGCTCCAGGTCTAGGACAAAGAAAAACATACATTCCGTGTTTCCCTAAGCCCTCTAAAAGAAAGAGGTCAGTCTTTCTTTTAATATTCAAATAGAATCCACAGTGTTTGTTTGTGTCCCGTCTGTCTGTAACATTCAGAGATTCATGCAGGTGGAGTTACGCTGAATTACTGCTTGCTGTCTCCCACCTCTGCAACCTCAACATGCTCTTACCTTTGGCTTTTCAGTGTCCTGCTTCTTTTTGCATTTATTCATTTGGCAACTATATATTGAACACTTTGATGCAGAGGTAAGCAATCTAGAAAAGAAAATATACACAAAGAAATTCCAGGTAGTGAAAAGTGGTACCAACAGCATGAGACAGGGTGGCATTGTGGCATGACCTGGGGTGGGCTCTTTGGCGTTGGGTAGTTTGGGGGGATGCTGGGAAGAGATGACATAGGATAAAAGACATGGGTGGTGGTAGGGCCCAAGATGCAGCAAAGACCCTTATCGGGGACATTCTCCCTGTGAGGAGCAGCTGGGGAGGGAGAGGGGGCAAGGGCGGCAGGTGAGGAGGGTCACACAACCAACGGCCAGCGGCCCCAGCACACGACATGCTGGGCATTCTGTGCAGCTCCCCTTGAGACTGGACATTCAGCCCTGCTCCACTGTCCCACAACCCCTCTGCCACATGGCTTTTGCGGTAGTGGACCCTGCAAAGGTTTGGAAAACGCAGAGAGAGAGAGAGAAGAGCTTGCAATGGAAAGCTGGCACTATTGTTCCAGAAAGTTCTTCACTCATCCTCACCCTGCATTTCTCCCTGGCTCCCTTTCCTTCTCTGTCTCTGGGTTGCCAAACTGTTTTGCACTTCAGTTTGCATGAGAAGCTTGAGGACTCAGTTTACTCAGGCCAGGCGAGCTGCACAAAGCAGGCTTTTCTGCCTGGGGCCAGGTGCAGCCTCATCGCAGGGCCCAGTAGACAGTGACGGCCACTGCCCCCAACCTGCTGCCCACACAGCCCTTGAGACGGACCTCCTGCCTGCAGCTGCCTCAGCTGGGCTAACACCATCAGACAGGGTTTCTGTGGGACAATTGCTTCTTTGTCAGGTCCTTTGCACCCCAGGGCAGCTGTGAGCCCACAGAATTCTCTCCTCGAACTAAGGCTTCGGTGTGTTCTCCAGAAGGTAAGCAAAGCACCCTTCCTGTGCTCTCCACTTTTCCGTGTCAAGTATTGACATTTCATATTACAGTCTAGATGCCAAGAACTCTTGTGAAAACATCATTATTTATGTATTACGCGGGAACCGAAGGCTCATTATTTCAAGAAGCTGCAAACCTAAAAAATGTATTTAAAGTCATGCATACTGACAAGTCACGTCTGTCTTTGTATGTATATTTTTGAGAAGGGTTACGGTCTTCAGGATAAATGATATGCAGCCCAGAACTGGCCTGGCTGTTATCAAATGTATCAGTGAGGACACTTGGCCGTCTGTGTCTGGAAAATGGTACAATTCACATTAAGAGAGGAAATTCCTCATGATGACTCTCATAGCCGACTTATGGCCCACTTTCTTCACAAGTTCCCCTCTAAATATTAAACTAGGAACTGTGCGTCAGAAGGTCAATCGGCCCAGTGTTTCTAGTAAAATAAATGGCATATTGTAAACGACACTGGCTAAAATCAGTGCCTAGCATCAGTAAAACAGAAAGTGAGTGTTCTCCAGTCAACACGCAGCTATATTTGAATGCCGTGTTTGACTTTAGTTGTAAGCACTCGTCTGTTGTACGGACAGCGGCGTGTCTAATGGAGTGTGACCGCATTAACAGTGCCAAGGGGTACAGGAGGGCACGGCTCAGCTGCCAGGCACATCGACCATGCAGCGGGTCCCAGGTCCGAATAGTGAAGCCTGTGCACATTTCCTGCTGAAAGGCAGCCTGCGTGGATGGATCGGATTCCGTTTTGTCGCCCAGTTGCTGTGTAATGGAACTCTCTGTGTTGTCTTAAACACTTAGAGGCTGTTAATACCAAGTGAATAGAGTGCTCGACTGTCAGATTGCTGTATTTAAAGAAAACACATGCTGTATTTACTGATTTTCTACATTAGCAAATGCTTTCCAGTGTGAGCTTTACTTTATTTATCGTTGAACCAGCATGTCATTTTTTTTTTTACATCTTTCTATCCTGATAAGCCAAACTTAGGATTGGTATGCACTGACAGACCGGAAGTGAATTCCTAATGAAGAGGACTAAAGCAGTTAATAAAAAAAAATTGTTAGAAGACACATTATGAGTTTATAATATAAACACAAACTCAAACGGACTGTTTTGAAAATATTACCTGGCAGGCACGGCTGCTAATAAAACTCTCCTCTGTGGCTATGTACAACTTCTTTATGAGATGTAAACACGAGTTTTTTTCCTCCCAAGAGTTCCAGGGCTTCACATTTTATATTCATTCTCCTTATCAAATGTCACAGAGTAGAGTCACTTGACAGGTTTCAGAATAATCCCTATCAACACACTAATATGTTCCAATACCTTCTTCTCACAGCAAACCCCAAAGTAGTGAGTAAGACGCATTAAAAGCTGGTCGTTTAAATGACCATCTGACCATCCTTAGGCCACAGAGATAATATGCAGACGTCTGGCTCCTGGCAGGGATGGTGCCTGCAGCTTTTGGTTGCAGTCTGTCACTGCAGCTGGTGTGAATGCCCCAAATTTAATGTCCTCAGTGACAGCTGTACTGTATCCTTGGAATGCACAGTTCATGGGGACTGAAATTATCAGACAAAGGTTCCATAAAGGTGCCACCGTTGGAGATGTTCCCATGCAGAATGTCTTAGCGTGCGATGGTGGTTTTAATTAAAGCAAAGTCTGCTTTCACAGGCACTGCGTCTGGCCCTTTGGAAATAGCAGTAGACAAGAAGGATGTAGCTCAGTTGTTGTCTCCGTGGACCTCATTGTCTAGAAACAACTCCCGGGAATTGATTTTAAATCCTCACTTTTGAAAAATGTGTAATAACCGACAGCCTGTACTGATATTAGCTGTTAGAAATTTCAATAGACAAATTCCCTTTTTACATTTATCTTCCATTGTTTTCTTTTTTTTTTTTTCCATTATAGAATCTTCTCCATCACAGAGGACATATTTAGTGAAGCAAACAACACAAATATGAAGATAATTAGTTTGCAGGCAGTAATGGCAGCAGTGTTGATATTAGTTAGACTCGAGTCCTTAGGCGTGGTGGCTAAGGGTGTGGGCTCCAGAGCAATGCCGTGTGGGTTTAAGTACTGGTTCTGCTGTCTGCAAGATGTAAAGATGATGATTTTCTCAACTTTTCTGTGCTTTTGTCTCCTTGCTTGGAAAATGATGACAATAATACTATTTTCCTCATATGGTGGTTATGATCTTCGAATGAGGTAAGATATATAAAGTACAGTGCCTGGAACATAGTAAGTACTCAATAAATGTTAGCCTTTATTACTTCCTTATATTTTATTTATGTCTTATCATGGAACCAAATGGGAAAGTAATTGTGCTGGAGAAAGTGCGTTGCCACTTTGAGATATAGGCCACTCATAGTTAGCTCGTGAATCTATTGCACCAACATTTGGAGGCTCAACTCAGCTCAGATCACAGATGGGCTTCACTTGACTTATATATAGCAGTGCTGTGAAATTGAGCAGGAAGGATATCTGCTGGTGATAATTATGGCAATTAAAATGGCAGGTAATATGCTAACTAGTGGCAGTGTTGTCAGAGCTGCTCAGACAGATGAAAAAATAAAACACAATGAGAAAGATTTACCCTTTGAGGGATACAGGAAAATATTATTTTTCAAAAAAACTCAGTGTAAATCTTGGCAGGGATAATTTATATAATTCCCAAGATATGCACTTTGCCTTCCCCACTCAGACCTCCAACATCATCTACTTGGCTAATACTTTATAGTGGATTTTCACTACAATGAAAAGATAATAGGAGACAGAAAATATGACAGTTATGAGCCTGAGCCTTTGCCTGTGGAAGACATAAGTTCAAGTCATGACCCCGCCACTTACTGTGTTTTAACTTCGGGCAAGTTAATTGGACACTTACTAGCTTCTTGCTGAAAGACTGACTTTGGCTAGTTCTGTGTGATAAAGAATTTGTCTGGTCTTTGTCACCTTTTCCTGGGTGGAAGCCTCTAAACTCTTGAAATTTTGTGAGTGAGAAGAACGTCTGTTATTCATGCAAGGCCTGCTAGTTGCTGCTAAGGAGAGGAGCAGGAGACCCAGGATGGAAAGATCAACCATGCTGGAAAGATCAACCATGTATTAATAATTAGAGGGCTGGGATCTGGGGCCACATGATATTCATCCAACCTCAGGGAGGAAGGAGGCTGGAGATTGACAGACTTCATTCATGTGGCTAATAATTCTATCAATCATGCCTATTGAGAAACAAAAACAAAATCCTAACCCCCCCTCCCCAACTAATTGAACTGACCCCTCTTGGCCAAAGGGATCCCAGAGAAACCTTAAAACCTGAAATCCCAGACATGAGAGGATGGGAGGTCAGACATGCCTCATTATACCCCTATCCTTGTTAACTGCCATTAGGTTTTCTTTACTAATGGTTAAAGAGAACCAGCCTTTTGGGAAGACTTGCTTTTTGCTGATTTCAACTACCCACCTAATGCTGCTCCTCTCTTTTTGTGGTTATGGCACTACAGCTGGCCATCATTCCTTCCTAATAAGAGGCCACTGACCATGGAGTGGTTCTGGCCAGTGTATGGAAGATGTACAGTGAGGGGTTTTGTGTCCTCTGTTTCACCTGTTGATGTCAGAGGGCTGAAAACTCCACCCTCGGATGATGCTAAGGCCATCATTTTTGGAAAATGGGTCCCATGAAGGAGCATGAAGATCGATTGTGCATGTGGATGTTTTTCCTTTCATAAATACTCATGACTTCTTCTCCAGCTTGTTAAATATGTATATATGGCCACCCTGCTCAGCATAAATTCCTGTTCCTGTTCCACTTTCCCTTGAAGTGCATGCTCTTGGCATCTTCCCAAGACTATGGCTTCCCAGCTGTCAGAATGGCCACCCTACAGGCAGCAACCCTTTATGAGAAATGAAGCTCTGCTTTCCTCATTTATGAACCTTGTCATTCTCTAGGTGATGCTATATAATGAAACCCCAATAAAAACTCTGGACACTGAAGCTTCGGCGAGCTTCCCTTGTGACTACATACTCTATGTGAATTGTTACGTATCAGTTGGCCGGTGGGGTGATGCACACTGACTCCTCAGGGGAATGAGACCAGAAGCTTCACATTTGGGACCCTCCCACACGTCACCCTATGTGTCCCTGTTTTGGACTTCCTGATTTGCATCTTTGTACTTACAATAAAACTTCAGTCATAAGTGTGGGACTCACCTATGTTCCATGTGTCATTCTAGTGAGTTAACGAACAGGAGGGCATAGAGAAACCTCTGTATTTGTATTCAGTTGGTCAGAAGTAAAAGTGAAGCTTACGGCCATTGGAGACTGTGAATCTAACATATAAATTTGGTCTAATTTTAGGCAGTGAAAGAAGTCATTTCAGCTAGTGACTTCTTCACTCTAAAATTAAAAAAATAATAATAATAAATATCTGATAAGCACTATAGTCTAGTGCAGCGGTTCTCAATGTGTGGTTGCTGCAGGGGCAGCATTGGGATTGCCGGGGAGCTGGTTAGACATGCAGAACCTCAGCTGCCACCCAAGCCTTCCGCATCAGGAACTCCAAGGGTGGGGCCCGGAACTTCGTGTTTTCACATGCCCTCCAGGTGGTCCTGATGCGCTCTTAAGTTTTAGAACAATTGCTGCAGCTGTTAGAGAATCTAGGCTGGATAGCCTTCGTTTGAATGACTGTCCCACAATGGATTATCTCCGAAGCATTGGACAGAGGTTGCTTAACCTCTCTGGGCTTTGGTTTCTTATCTGTAAAGATGGAGATAGTAATGGGATATCCCCAACCCTGCCATGGGGTTGTTTTGAGGGATGAATGACTTCATACATGTAAAGCATTTAGAGTAAGAACTGGGACATTGAGGGCTTTACAAGTGTTTGTTGTCTACAAACAAGAATTATCTACAAAACAAGAATGATACTACTTGTCCTATGGTGATGATGAAATAATAGAAAGTATGTAATATACTTCCTGAAACATATTACATGATTAACTAATGATTGTTGTTTTGAGTATCTACAACTTCAACTCATTTAAGACATACAGCAAATGTCATAATTATTTTCTTGAAAAATAACTAGAGGTTATTTACAATCAAGCTGCCTGGAATTTCCATAAGAGGAACAAACTATATCGTCCCTCAACCCTTGCCAAGTCAAGGGGATTTCTATACTATGTTACTAAGTGAGTAATTACATTAGATATTAGTAATTCTATTAGAAATGCCCTCCTGGGCACTGACTGCAAACTAATACTGAGGAGAAAACTGCAATTTTTTCCTTATCAAGGTGCAACTGGCTGTTTAAGATGAAGAAATTCATGTGTTTCTGTTTTAATCACCACCTGTGATATTCTTTATGGTGTTTCATGATTATTTTAAGGAGAGATTGCTCTACTTACTATTTAATGCTTTCCAGTGAAAAAATATTTTTGTTTTATTTTCTCCTTGTGCAAATGCAATGCTTCTCAAAGACTATTCCACAGAATCAACCGCATTAAAATCCACTGGGTTGCTTATGGCTAAAAACAAAATAAAACAAAGTATATTGTCAGTTTGCATGAATGAAAACCTCAGGTATGTATGCTGAAGTTTGAGAACCGTAGTTTTCATTGTTTTTTTTGAATAACAGAATATTAGAAAACAAAACAAAATAAAAATCTAAAACTCTAAGAGGTGTTTAAAGACTAACAGGGATAAAGTTAAAGAAGACATAAATTCATTAGACATGGGAACTAGCGTGCAGCAGAAGGGAAACATATCAGAGAGTCCACCAAAGCCTGGACCTGTCATTACAGAGATGACGCAGGCTCCTCTTGTGAACTTAACTACAGAGCAAGACTGTTCCAGCTCTCAGGACTGAGACCTGTTGAGTTTTGTCTGCACAAATTTCTGTAACTCTCTGATTACATCTGTGCACGGCAGGACACATCAGGCTCCCAGCTCACCATTCTTGAGGGGAATATTCATCTTTTAATGATCTGTTTTGAGTGCAAACACATGCCTTGTGACCTGCCTGCCACTTTAGAAACATAGTACAAAGGAATTCTCTTGTTTCTACAAGTCTCCTAAAGGCCAGGCATGTCAGTAGAATCCAGAGATAAAAGTTGTTCTCCCTCCTTTCAATATACAAGAAAGCAAAGATAATCTTCTGCTGTTCTCATGGGTCCAGTAATGAGACTTTTTTTTCCCTTGGACAGGTGCAGTGAACAAAATGCACTTAGAGAAAGAGACATGTGCTCACATAAGAAGAGACTTATCTATACTAAAGAGACTTAGTGATTTCTAAATAATTCATAGTTAAAAATAGGAAAAACAGATGACTCGATCCTCAGTTCACAAAGCTCCTGTTAGAGTTTTGTTACCATGAAATCTTTTTATTAGCCCTGTTGAAATGGAACTTGTCAATGCTTATCTAATTCTCTTCCCTGTCATTCCTCCAGGGAAGGTACCAGTTAGCTATAAAATAGGAGTCGATACAGAAAATGAAACTGTCTGAACATTGCACAAGATGTGCCATTGGTCATAGAATAAATGGGAATTATTTCTGGGGTAATCTGCCATCAGAAGATGGAGAATAAAAATGAGATGTTAGAGGCCAGTGGTGTGTGTGTGTGTGTGTGTGTGTGTGTTGATGTGGGTGGGGGGAGGTAGAAAGGTTGGGGGAACAGTAGGGCTACTGTATACAAGTTGGCCCATTAAGTGATCTGAAACATTCCTGCTTCCAAGACACCTACAAATATCTGAAAAAAAAAAGTAACAAATATACTTTTAAATGTAGAGGTGAGCTTGTAAGAAAGTAAGGGGAATTTTCAAGGGCCAAAAGCAAGGGGAAAATTACAAACACCAGTGGTCAGTGATCACCAAACCATAGCTACTATGGGAATTTTGCCAAGCTCAATGACCAGGAAGCATATATGTAATGACCATAAAAAGGGAAATCATGTACCCAATCAAGAAGGAAGATTGGAATTGAGAACCCTGCATTAGGCCCAGGGTTAGGAAGGTATAACCCTTGAAGGAAGCCTCAGATAATAAGCACTTAGTCATTGATGGAGGAAATAAGCAAGCTTATCTATCACCGTTTGGGCTTAGTGGGACAAAACAAAACAAAAAAAATCCATAACCTACTTGAGAATTTGGACTTCACAAAATTTCCATGAAGATGGGTTTAAAGTTTGAATTTACATTGTTTTATGATCCTAAATCCTCCAAATGGAAAAATTAACACGATAGGCTAGAAACCTCACTGAGGTGCTCACACCAGCCAATGTGCACTTTATTTGGAGTCCTACCTTCTTATCGCAGGTGGTCTGTATCCTCATACATACAACTCTATTGAAAATGTACTCACAATCCAAGATTATAAGGCATATGAGGTCACAAGCTGCAATGAGCAAGCATCAACGCAAACGAATGGCAGGAGGTTACGCCAAGGGCTTCAGATAATAAGAGTACTATAGACAGAAACTATAAAATAAGTATGCTTTAAAATAACAAAATTTAAAACAGAATAACTTGAGAAATGAACCAGATACTATCAGCCAAGACTAGGCACAACTGATAAGAGAATGTTAAGAGCAAGGAAGCTTAGTTTTTGGAGTTTCTCCATGACTTAATAATAGCTTATGTCTTTGACTAAGTTATTTATTTCTGTATAAACTGACTGATACTTAAGATCTCATCTTTAGCCTCTTGTTTTTCCTGTCTCCAGGCAGAGACTATCCAATCACTTTCTCCTTAGTTTGACAGGCCCATGATGCAACTGTGCTTGGTACCCACCTCTCTGGCAGAGAGAAGTGACAAGAAGGCCACTACAAAGGCTGGCAGAACCGGGAACCAGGTGGAGGGTGGAGACAACTGTCTGTGCTCACTTCTTTCATCAACCCCTGCTTGCAGACACCTGGGCCACTGGGAATCCTAGTTGTTATTCTAACAACCAAAGTACCCAGGTCAGCAAAGCACATGCTTTGCTTGCTAGTTTTTCTTAGACAGATATTTCCACTTTTAGAACATGGATCTCATGTGTACAGATTAGAGTTCTTTGTTATGTATATGATTAAAATTAATGCAATTACGAGATTGGATTCTGTTTACCATGATTTCAGTACCAGTTAGACTCAGAGTGTGGCAGGTAGAGGTGACAACAGACAAGATTACCCAGGACACCTACTGATGGGTAGGCCATGTCTGTGCTGCAGACACTTACCTCCAGGTGTTTACCTAAAGAATGTTATGGGAGATCCAGGTAATTTTCATATGGGTAGAAATTAACCCGCAGTAACCACATAGCCATACACTTATTTCCAGACCTTTTATTGTCCCAATCATTCTGAGGGAAAGGAAATAAGAAAATCATGTCCTTTCACCATCCTCCTGTAATTAAGGCATTTAGTAATGTGCATGGGGACCAGCCACTATTAGCAGATTTGAAAGAAAGGCTGTTAAATCACTTCTCAGATAGGAAGTTCATGTTGGATGACAGAATACCTTTTTCTTGCCTGAGAAAATGACACTTCTCAGAAATGTGTAGAGACATGAATTGTCACAGGGAGTTACTTCCCTAGTAATTGCTGTCTTTGTGAGAGGTCAACCTGAACAACTTTTAATAGACTCAGTCATGATGAGAGAGTATGCAGGCAAGAGGATTTTCTAAGTCAATGCAGTATTTTATAAAGGGTATTTGTTGTGGGATTTTCAACAGTGAATTGCTGATTCACATTAGCTAAGCTCAAAATAAAACTGCATTATGAAAGAACATAGACAAGGTGGGGATTCTATATATATCACTGGAAGCTGTTTGGGAGAGTGTTGCTATTTTTTCAAGATATTGCATGACTTTTATTTTTAATGTCAATTACATGTCTTAATTTTGAATTTTATACAACTTTCAGCATGCCTTGCAATTACTCAGATAACATACTAAATTTCCACAGAAACAAAAATTTCTTGTGCTAGTATTTATACTTCTACTCCTGTATGAACTAGGATTAAAATGGTTGACATCATTTAATATTTATTGACCATCATATTCTTAGATAGCTCAAAAAAAAAAAAAAACAACAAAAAAAAACACAATTCTTTGAGGCCAGAAAAGAAGTCTTACTCTTTGGCTTTGTGGGAAGTTGCAATATGGAGTTGATACTAGTGGCCCCACAACTGGCTGATCTGGACTTGGTGTCTGAGAGTAAAATTCGCTTTTAGACTAAGTATCTTTCATGATCCACAGAAAGTGGGCTCCTGTGCAAGGCAGACACATTTCTGTCCTCTCTCAGCCTTGTATAACTGCCAAGCAGAGGTTCCATCTGTGACTCTTGGAATGTTGCCCCTAGCCACTAGCCAGGCTATGAGGAAGTAACCTCACAAAGACCAACACCTGTCATGGAACCATAGAACACGGGCTTTGCTGACCATCAGCTGAGACCAGCAGCCCAGCGTCTGCCATCTCTTCCCTGCATGACCAGGCCTTCAGGGCTCAGGCAGGGAGTGCTCTCCAGTGGCTTCCCCTACCCTGCCCTGTCTGTCTCATCAGCTCATCTCCTTGGAAGTGCGACGACATTCCCAATGATGTCAGGACACTGGGCTTCACTTTCTCATGGGTAGAGTCCCAATTTGTTAAAACAACCCATCCACATTGTCTTTGATCACCCTCTACCTTCCTCCATCCCTAAGGCCAAGGCCATATCTAGTCCAGGTTTGCCTCCTGGTCTCCTGAAGGAGACCAGGCCCTCTTCACCTCCTCACTTACACACAGAACCGAACTCTCCCTAATTGGACTTTTGCCCTTCTAGGCAGTCTGTAAGATTCCTACATCCAGGCTCCAGCTCCTGGTGTCTGGAGGGGTGTTTAAGTCTTGATTGGCTTGGCCCTGTGGTCCAGGCTCACTCCCTCACTGCAGGATGGCCTGCCCTGGGGGACTGTGCCACCACCCTGTAACGACTGCTTTCCTCTTATGCTTTTTTGGTAGGTTTCCCTCAGGAACTCATGATGTGGAGACATTATGGACTAAACTAGTACTAAACATATTTTTAGGTCTCCTGATCATGATTACATTTTAATGCTAAAAAAATTTCATGGACCTCAACAAGTGATTTAATTTTTTGAAGATGTCAATTTTCTCAAATTTTATTTATAAATTTATTGCAACCCCAACAAAAATTTCAGCCAGGTATTTTTGTAGATTTGACAAACGGATTCATATACGCTAATATATATGTGTATATATATTTTTTATAGACTTAGGGGTATAAATCGGTTTTGGTTACATGGATGAATTGTATAGGTGATATCCAGGATGTTAGTGTACCAGTCGATGAATAGTGTACGTTGCACCTGGTAAGTAGCTTTCTTCCCATACCTCCCTCCCAGCCTCCCCCTTCCTAGTCTTCAATGTTCGTTTTACCACTCTGCATGCTCCTGTGTACCCATAGATTAGATCCATCTAAAATTGAGAACATATGGTATTTGGTTTTCCTTTCTAGTGTTAATTCACTTAGGATAATGGCCTCCAGTTCCATTCAAATTGCTCAAAAGACATTATTTCATCCTTTATGATGGCTGAGTAGAACTCGATGGTGTATATATACCACATTTCCTTTATCCACTTCTCAGTTGATGGGTGTGTTGGTTGATTCCATATCTTTGCAACTGTGAATTGTGCTGCAATAAACATACAAGAGCAGGTATCTTTTTTAATCTGACTTCTTTTCCTTTGGATAAATGTCCAGTAGAGGGATTGCTGGTTCAAATGGTAGATTTACATTTAGTTCTTCAAGAAATCACCATACTGTTTTCCAAAAAGATTGTACTAAAAAAATTTCCATAACACTATGTAAGCATTCTCTTTTCACCACATCTGTGTCAACATCTATTGTTTTTGACTTTTTAATAATGGCCATTCTGAGAGGGGTATGCTGGTATCCCATTGTGGTTGTAATTTGCCTTTCCCTGATGATAAGTGATTTTGAGCATTTCCTCATATGTTTGTTGGTCATATGTATATGTTTTTAAAAAGCCTGTTCATGTTGTTTGCCCACTTTTTGAGCATTTTCTTATTTGTTTGAGTCCCTTATTGATTCTGGATATTAGATCTTTGTCAGATGTTTAGTTTGTGAATTTTTTCCCATTATGTAGGTTGTCTATTTATTCTGTTGATTATTTCTTTGGATGTGCAGAAGCTTTTTAGTTTAATTAAGTTCCATTTATTTATTTTTGTTTTTGTTGTATTTGCTTTTGGGGTCTTAGTCATGAATTTTTTGCCTAGGGCCTGGGCCAATGTCCAGAAGAATCTTTATGAGTTGTGTGGGCATCTTGAAGGCAACAGATATTAGCGTTGTGTTTTTTCATCCATTTTACTAATCTCTGTCTTTTATGTGGGCATTTATACCATTTATGTTCAAAGTTAATATTGATATGTGAGACACTATTCCAGTCATCATGTTGATTGTTAACCAGTGCTCTGTATTCTCCAATGTGTTACTGTCTTATAAGCAGTATAGGTTTTACACTTTTGAGTGTTTTTATACTTGTGAATATCAACATTTTGTTTCAATGTTTAGTACTCTTTTGAGCATTTCTTATAGGGCTGATCTAGTGGTGACAAATTCCGTTAGTGTTTGATTGCCTAGGAGATACTTTATTTCTCCTTCATTTATGAAACTTAGTTTTCCTGGATATAAAATTTATGGCTGACAGTTATTCTGTTTAAGAAGACTAAAGATAAGATCACAGTCTCCTCTGGCTTGTAAGGTTTCTGCTAAGAAGTCTGCTATGAGTCTGGTAGATTTTCTTTTATAGGCTTTTGATGTTTGTTTCTCACTATGCTCATGATTTTTTTCCTTCACGTTGAATTTAGCTAGTCTGATGTCAGTTTGTCTTGGTGATGATGTTTTTGCAATGAATCTTCCTGGAGTTCTTTGAGCTTCTTATATCTGGATGTCTATATATCTAGTGTGGCCAAGGAAATTTTCCTCAATTACTCCTTCAAATAGTTTTTCCAAACATTTTGCTTTTTCTTCTTCTCCCTCAGGGACACCTGTGATTAATAGGTTTGGGTGTTTTACATTGTCCCATATTTCTTGGAGAGTGTTCATTTCTTTAATTCTTTTTTCTTTTATTCTTTTATTTATTTTTTTGACTGGGTTAATTTGAAAGCCTTGTCTTCAATCTCTGAAATTCTTTCTTCTGTTTGGTCTAGTCAATTGTAAAAACTTTCCACTGTATTTTCCAATTGCCTAAATGAATCTTTCACTTTCAGAGATCTGTTTTTTTTTAAATGTAACTATTTCTTTAGTGAATTGTCATTCATATCCTGAATTTTTTTTGTTTCTTTATGTTGGTTTTCAACTTTCTCTTGGATCTCAATAAGCTGACTTGCGATCCATATTTTGAATTCAATATCTGTCATTTAAAAAATTTCCTTTTGGTTAATCCATAGCTGGAGACCTATTGTTGTCCTTTGGGGGCATTGAACAGCCTGTTTTTCATGTTGTAATGATTCTTATGCAGGTTCCTTCCCATCTGGAGAAACTTTCACTTCTTAATTTTGAATTTACATTCATTTCTTTTTAAATTTTTTATAATTATGTTTTATTTTCCCCTTTGAGGGTATGAATATATTGCATGTTATGTTTGGTCATTTCTCTTTGATTTGGGGTTCTTTCAGAGGTCCAGGCTCTGTATGAGTTCTTGGTTATAGATAGCCTTTGTGCAGTGACTTTCTCAGATGCTGACTGTAGCAGATATCTACTGAGTATATGAGTAGGTTTGATACTTCCTGCAGTTCTGGAATTGCAGAGGTCTCAGGAAGCTTATCTCATTCTCAACACTGTCCTTTTCTGGGACGAGATATTATATTGGGCTGTGTGTTCCAACCTCCAGGGCCAGTAGGGCACTTACAAGTAAGAGCCAGCTGTAGCAGAGGCTGTGAGTAGGTATCTGAGCTTTGTTTACTCTGAGGGGATCTCTGTTGTCTCAGACAAAGGACTAGTCTGTGGTTGGAAAGCTATCCCAGTCCTTATCACGGCCCTGCACTGAGGTTTGTGACTCTCAGCTCAGTTAAACCTTGTCAGCTGTCTTCAGGCCACACTGTCACTGATGTCAGCAGAAAATGCCTTTCTGTCAGCTCTCTGCCTAAATAGTTTCAGAGCAGAACTTCTGAGGGCTTTGTGGCTTGCCTGTTCTCCTCTGTGGGGAGCACTGATGTTCCACGTGGAGAGGGAGAGGTGCATTGCCTTTAGGTTTGTGCAGAGGAGCACCCACTGTGATGTTGCTGGCAATTTGGGTCAACTGAAATGTTCAAGATGCTAACGGTGATGGACTAGGTTAGGTAACCCCCAGCCCTCAGGGCCCTGGAATGGCATGCTTGAGTCTTAGGGGGATCAAATCAAGACCAGGCTGGTGAACTTATGCTCCAGCCTTCCTGGTTTTAGGTGCTGGCTGTTATAGGGAGAGGTCGGGTGATCCTCTAGTCTGGCATAGTGCTCAGGCAGAGGAAGGGTGGATGCACTGTGAGCCTACCCCTGGGTAGGTGGGCCCCTCTCAGGGAGATTAGTGGAATCAGACAGCTGTAGGGTACACAAGCCATTTGTACCTCCTCCCCTCAGCAGTGACGGCAGTATCTGTCCTTTGGGCAGGAAAAATCACCTGGATCCCCATCTCCCTCCTTGGCTCTGCAACAGCATAGGTGGTGGAGGAAGCCCAAATTGTTGTGTGCTGGGCTCCTAGAATGATTTCAGGCTGCTGCTGATATGCTGTGTGTGTTGGGGGGTGTTGAGCTGTGCCACAGACTTGCCTCCAGGGAGGTCAGGCTCCTCACCATATAGGCAGGGCAGCTGGGAGAAGAGACTGCTCACCTTCTCTCTCCATGGCCTTGGGGTGCACAGAAGCACAAGGATTCCCAGATCCCTCGCGGCCTGGTTGTAGTAGCAGCAACAGAGGAAGCTCATACTGCTGTGTGCTGGGCTCCCGGAATTGCTGCAGCCCACTGCTGAAATGCTCCAGCAGGGGAGGGGCAGTTGTGCCACAGACTTGTCTCTAGGGAGGGCAGGTTTCTGTCAGCAGAGGCTGCTGGGGTGCAGATTGCTCACCCTGCTCTCCCTCAGCAGTGGCTGCAGTTTCTGTCTTTGGGCTGCACATGAGTGCCTTCTCTCCCCTGCTTCTTCAGTGGCCCTGCAGTTGTGGCTGCAGTAGCATAGGTGTTGGCCCCAGAGCAGGACAGACACCTCTGGGGACTGTGCTCTCTGCATGGTTCAGGGTTCAGAAGACTGTAGGACTCTGCTGCTTGTCAGGTTTCTAATGCTTGTAGGGCTTCCCTTGAATACAAGCAATGCTTCTGTGTACCCTCTGGGAAGTTCCTTGCCTCAGTCTTGTGGTCCCACGAGGGCTTGGGTGTGAGACAGGGTCCCAAATGTCCCTGGCAGAAGGATGGAAACCCAGGAATCTCTCACTTGGGCATTCCTGGCATCGGAGAGGTTCTCCTGTCTTCCTGCTGACCCTGGCTGAATAGGGCATTGGTCTTCATTCTTCTCTACTTTTTCAGCCTCTGTAGCTTCTCTGTTGGAATTTGGGGTTCTCTTTTTGACTATCTATTCAAAGCATGAAAATCTACGCCCTAATTTTAATTTCTCTCTGTAGGAGCATACTAGCTGTAACTAGTCAGCCATCTTGAACTGGAACCTCAAGTTATTTAATTTTCTTAGCCTGAATGCCCCATTGTTAAAATGGGAAGAATACTGATGTGACTGCATTTTAAAGAAGTGTGAAGGGTCAGCCACAGGAAACTGCTTTTAGTTTTTAAATAAATGTTTACTCCAAGCCTGAGATAAACTTCACAGTATCCCTAGTTGCTGCATAAAATGTCACTGCCAGGTATTGAAGATTCTCTTCCCGAGCTACATTACATCACGGTAACTGTTATATTACAGACTGTTTTCGCACACAGCCTTTTCTTCTGCTTGTGAATAGCTAGAGTTGATTTGGAATTTTTGTATTTAGTTTTATATTTTATATGTCATTTTTACTGCCATTTGCCAGTGTTATTCATTTTAAGAATTTAAATCTGCAGGCTTCACATCACTGCTGAATATCAAATATTTTTATCCGGCTGCTAAACTCGAGCTTCTGTTTGGAACCCTTAGCTTCTATTTGATTTCACTCTCATGACTTCCAGATTTTCCCTTGCTCTCAACTTTCTCCAGGCTTGCAAACACCTGCTGGGACATTGGGTGTCGGCTTTCAGATGGTTTCATGCTTTTCAAGTGGTTTCTGGTGGTCTACTAGAAAGCAAATGAACTAAAGCAAGTGAGTTGTTGCCCCTCTGGTGTCTAATAGAATTCCATCTCCTACCAGGGTAAATTGCGCTGTTCACTTATAAAAGAGTGTTTAAAGCTGCTGTTTGGGATGAAGACTTAAAAGATCAAAAACATGGGACCCATTAAGGATCGACATGCAGTGGTATAATATTGAGACTTAATAAAGGAAGGAAATTTTAACACCTGTTACAATATACATGGACCTCGAGGAGATTATGCTGAGAGAAACAGGCCAGCCACAAAGTATTGTGTGATTTCACTTGTATGAAGTACCTAGAGTAGTGAAATTCATAGTGACAGAAGTGGAATGTGGTTGCCAGGAGCTAGTGAGGAGGGGAAATTGAGAGTGTTGTTTAATCGAAACATAGTTTTAGTTTGGGATGATGAATACCTTCCAGAGGGGGATGGTGGAGATGATTGTACAACAATGTGAATGTACTTAAAGCTGTCGAATTGTGTACTTAAAAAAGGTTAACAGGGTAAATTTTATGTTATATATCTTTTGCCACAATTTTTAAAAAAACAAGACTCATTAAGGTTAGTTTTTTCTTTATTCTTTGAACTTTGTTTTGAGATAATTGTAGATTCACGTGCAGTTGTAAGAAATAATACTGAGAGATCCCTTGTACCCTTTCCCCAGATTCTTCTTGTGAAAACAGTTTGCAAAATCATAGTAAAATATCACAACCGGAACATTTCCATCACCACGGTATCACTGGTATTGTTCTATAGTGAAATCCCACTCCCTACTCTTCCCACCCACCCCACCATTGGCAACAATATTCTGTGCTCTATTTCTGTAGTTTTGTCATTTTGAGTATGTTATATAAGTGGAATCATACATTATGTGGCCTTTTACATTTGGCTTTTTCCACTTAGGTAAAATTCCCTGGAGATTAATAGTTTGTTCCTTGTTATTGCTGAATAGTATTCTCGAATATGGACATACCATAGTTTTTTTTTTAACAATTTACCCACTGAAGGCCATGTAGGTGGTTTCCATTTTTTTGCTATTGCAAGTAAAGATGCAATAAACATTCCCATACAAGGTTTTGTGTGAATATAAATTTGCACCTCTCTGGGATCCAAGCTTGCAATTGCTGAGACATGTGATCACTGCATGCTTAATTTCATAAGAAACATTTTTATAAAATGTCTTTTGTTCTTTTGGGTAGATGCCCAGTAATGGGATTACTAGATCAAATGGTAGTTCTACTTGTAGCTCTTTGAGGTATCTCCATATTGCTTTCTACAGAGGTTGTACTAGTTTGCAGTCCTACCAACAGTGTATGAGTGTTCCTATCTCTCTACTAAGTGACGTATCACAAGAATGGAAAAACAAGCACCACATGTACTCACCATCAAATTGGTATTAACTGATCACATTTAAGTGCACCTATAGTAATAACATTCATCGGGTGTTGGGCACATGGGAGGGGGTAGAGGAGTGGCATATACATACCTAATAGTGCATTGTGCACTGTCTGGAGGATGGACGTGCTTGAAGCTCTGACCCAAGTGGGGGGCAAAGGCAATGTATGTAACCTAAACATTTGTACCCCCATGATATACTGAAATAAAAAAAATTTTAAAAGAATAATCTCATAAGAAACTGCCAAACTTTTTTCAAAGTGACTCTATCATTTTATAATTTTACCAGTGATTGTGCAAGTGATTTATGTTTTTCACATTCTCACCAGAATTTGGTGTTTTCACTGTTTTTTATTTTACCCATTCTAATAGAAGTGTAGTGATATGTCATTGCATTTCCTTGATGATTAATAAAGACGGACATCTTCTCATGTGCTTATTCCCTTTCTGTATATCCTCTTTGGTGAAATGTCTATCCTTGTCTTTTGCCCATTTTCTAATTGTGCTGTTTTTTTTTTATTGTTAGGTTTGAAGATTTGTTAGATAATCTTCAAATTAATCATTTTCACATATGTAGTCTGCAAATATTTTCTCTAAATGTGTAGCTTATCTTTTCATCTTTTCCACAATGTCTTTCCAGACTAAAGCTTTATATTTTGATAAGATACAACTTATCAACTTCTTCTTTTGTGGATTATGCTTTTGGTGTCTAAGAACCCTTTGCCTAGTCCTAGCTCCCAACGGTTTTCCATATATGTAAATTATATAGTTTGACTTGTATAAGGTGTAAAGTTTAGATTGAGGTTTATTTATTTTTTGCCTCTGGATGTCCAACTGTTTTAATTCCTTTTGCCATTTGAATTGCTTTAGCAATTTTGTCAAAAAAGTTGAACATATTTGTGTGGGTATATTTCTTGGTTTTCTATTATGTTCCACTGAAGTTTATGTCTATGCTTCCACAACTACCACACTGTTTTGTTTATGGTAACTACACAGTAGTCCTTAGTATTGAGGAGAGTGATTCTTCCTATTTTATTCTTTATTTTTTTCCTCAAAAGAAACAATTTATTTAGAATAAAACAACTATTTTATTCTTTATTCAAGACTTTTTTGGCTATTCTAGGGACTGTGAATTTCAACACAATTTTTTTTTTAAGAATACAATGTTTTATATTCACGAATAAACTAAAAGTTCTTTTCTAGGTGTTCGTTTCTCATGTGTGCTTCACTTGTTTTCTTACTCAGCAAAGCCCTGTAAGGGAAGGCTTCAGCTAGTCCTTGGACACTGATCCATCTCATCTTCCTCTTGACAGATCTGGAAGTGAGGAAGTCTGTAAGTCGCCTTGCCAGATGCAACCACTCAAAGCCAATCACAAAGATTGCACTTCTTAGGGTATTTCTTGATCAGGTATTTCGAATGCCTTTCAGAGAACTGTTTCTCAGAAACAACTGTGATTCAATCTTGAAGCATTATATGTGAACAACATTCTGGACATATCCAGTTTTTACATTGACCTTAAACTAAAATTTATCTAATACTTTTTTTTCTGTATCTATCTGGATGATCATGTAGTTTTCTCCCCCTTAATTCTATGAATTTGTTGTATTGCATTGACTGATTTTCATATGTTGAAATATCCTTACATCCCAGCAACAAATCCCACTTGTTCATGGTGTAGCTTTTAAATGTGCTGTTGAAGTCTATTTGTGAGTTTTTTGTTGAGAATATTTGCTTCAATACTCATCAGGAATATTAGTCTATAGTTTTATTTTCTCGTAATGTCTTTGTCTGGCTTTGATATTGTAGTAACGGTGGGCTCAGAGAATGAATTTGAAGTTCTCTCTCCTTTTAAATTTTTTGGAAGAATTTGATTGTTATTAATTCTTCTTTAAGTATTTTGTAGAATTCACCAACGAAGCTATCTGGTCCTGGGCTTTTCTTTGTTGGGAGGTTTTTGATTAGTGATTTCATCTCCTTACTTTATTAACAGATATGTTCATATTTTCTATTTTAGTCTTGGTAGTTTGTGTGTTTCTAGGAATTTATCCATTTCACATAGATTACCAAATGTGTTGCCATACAAATTGCTTATAGTTTTTCTTAATAGTCTTTCTATTTTTGTAAAACTCGGTTGTACCTTTTTCTTTTTAATGTAGAAATTTACATTTATAAATTACCCTCTGAGCACTACTTTCACTGCATCTTACAAGTTTTAGTATGTTGTCTTTTTGTTTTCTCTCATCTCCAAGTATTTTCTAATTTTCCCTGTGATTTCTTCTGTGATTTATTGCTTATTTAAGATTCTGTTGTTTAATTTCCATATATTTGCAAATTTGCTAGTTTTCCTACTGTTATTATTTCTAGCTTCATTCCATTATTGTTGGAGAACATGTTTTGTATGGTTATCATCTTTTAAGATATTTTGAGACTTGTTATATGATCTATACTACAGAATGCTCTGTGTGCACTGGAGAAGAATGTGCATTTTGCTATTGTTCAGGGGAGAGGGAAGTGTTTTAGTAGCATACAAAGCTTGCTTCTTACTGAAGCTTTTTTATTATGGATGTTTTAAAATCCTTGTCATAATTCCAGCATCTGATTCACCTGGTATTGGTATCAGCTGATTATCTTATCATATTCATATTAAAATTTTTATGGTTCTTAGCATGACAAGTGAATTTGCAAGGCATTGGTATTTTTGTTTCTTGATTTTGAGAGTTTTTAATATATTCTAGTTGCTAGTCTTTATCATTTATAGATGATTTGGACATTTTAGATATTGGATATCATACTATGAAGACCCAGACCTTAGCTAATATTCTTTCTTAGCAAGCGGTCCCCCCATTGCGGTGTGGAGTGATGGTCACTGGGTGCATATGTGCAGTTTCCCTTTGTGCCTTGCCAATGCCCCCATGGCGTTGGTAGAGAACTCTCACTGCCTATTGCAGATGGATGGGGTGAAAGTTCCCCTCCCTCCTCAGCCCTGCTGACATCTTCCTAGTGAAAGTAGTGCACCAAATGGCACCACCTTGTTTGCTCCAAAAGGATATATAAGAGTATCTCCCCTCTGGATCCTGCTGTTACCAAGAAGTATAGAACTAGCATCATTCGCACCACTTTGTTGGTTCAGATTTGGGCCAGAAGCTCAGCTCTGCACTGAGGCTGGATGACAGTGGATGGATAGTCAAGGAGAGTATTGATTAGCCTGATTGCATCTCCTTGCTGCTGGGAGGATGTGAACATTAAGCTCACCATTTGTCTGCTGTTTCCATCCTGTCTGAGCAATCAGTGCATTGCCTATTTCTGTAGACCGAAGTATAAAGATTATCTCCACACTCAGTCCTCCCAAAACTACTGGGTGGTGGGATCCAGAGCCCTGCTTTGTCAGGTAGGTAGGGGATAAGATTACTTCCTGCTCAGTCCTGCTGAACCCATGGGGGAGGCATATGGTTTTTCTGTGTTTTTTTGGCTAAAGTAGGGCAGATATTGAAAAAAAAATTTTTTTTTTTTTTTTAGGCGACCCTTTCCCAGTCTTTTGAAGGGGGGAATAGGCTTTTCTTGGAGCATTTTTTTTCTCTGCCAATCAGCATTGTCAGGTAGAGACTCTGCAGAGTCCTGTCCTGGATATGTGGAAACAACAGGGGACAACTCAGGGGACTCACATTTCTGTTGTTTCTCAAGTCCCCAGACCCATAGGATGTCCATTCCCTTCTTCTATCTTTCAGTCTTCCTATGTTTGTTGTGTTACATACAGAATTTTTAGTTATTAGAGGGAGGACCCAGGCGAAATAGGGCTACTCTATTCTGGTGGAACTTGAAGTCTAAAGTATGGTTTGTTAACAAAAGAAATATTATAGCAGAGCCCAAGAGATTAGAAAATTCTGTTCTTAAAAAACACAAATAAAGTAGCTTTTACCTTTTGAAAGTACTGTGCATTTTAGAAGCACTAACACATTGAAAAATAGGTTAGCTTCATAAAAGCTGTTAATTTCTTTTGCTGCCATGTCCACAGTAAACCCAATACCATGTGTTCATGGTGGGCAGGGCTGATGCAATTTTGCTTCTATTTAGTGTATCTTGTCCATGGAGTGTGTGGTGCAAACTTTTACTTGCAAGATACATCAGTTACAGATATTTATCATCCAGATTTTTCCCAGTGAGTAATGCCTTCTATGTGGTTGACTCACCCCTCTTTTCACTATGTTCCTGGTGTCTAGCTCACAAAGCCTTCCTTTGGAGTCTCCTAGGCTGGCTCCCCTTCCTCCACCTATACCTGCATGCTGGAGTTCCTGAGGCTCATTTCTGTGCCTTTTTCATCTCTACACATACTCCTTCTCTAGCCCCAGACTCAAAGGTCCATCCATATATGCTGGCCGTTCTCTGAGCTGTGACTTCATTTCTGAGACTTAGTTGCAAAAGCAAACACTTTACTTAAGATCTTTGCTTGTCAGTCCCATGCAGGCCTCTTAAGCTCATGACTTGTCTCCACAAACCTGTCTGTCATCCGCTATGCCCACTGACAATAGAACCTATTGCCATGTTCCAAGCTTCCCAAACCCCAAAGCTAAGAACCCCTCCCTTTTTCTCATTTCCCAGGTCTATGACATTCACCGGCTTTACTAATTTTACCTCTAAAATATTTCTTAATTCTAACAACTTTCTGCATCTCCACTGCCACCGTTCTAATCTAACTATCATCAACACTTGCCAGCCGAGCACAGCTCTGTTCTAGTAGGTTTGCTCACCTCTCCTCCATGCACAACTCCAGCCCCATGCTCCACAAAGCAGCTAGCAATGATCTCCCTAAAACTTCATCTTGCCAAGTAGCTTCTACACTCACTTCCACTAAGAAACTTGTATGAAGGTCACATCCATAGTTCTAATATGCAGGGTCTGTGACTAAGAGCATATTTTATTTACACCATTAAAATTCTTTATCCAATTAGCTTTTAACAAAAAACAGGCAAGTACTCACTTGCATGACTTTAGGAAAAATATCTTACATTTTCAACTAGATGATACATCTTGGAAGGTTGAGATACCTTATCATTCCTTGCAAAGTAATTGTGCCTTTGTACCAAGGAGAATCTAGTGTGTTAGTGCTTGAAGGGAACCAAGGCATCATGCAGCAGATACTCAGTTGACATATGGCAGCAGTTCTGCAATGTCCCGTTGCATGCCAAGTATAAGAGTATATTATACTTGGATGCTTTCTCACCATAAATCAGTAAAAGGGGCTTGTGAATAAAGTAAATGAGGAAAGACTTCTTTGCATCAGAGAAACTCATAATTTAATTTAGCAAAGGAACACATGCACATTGGGAATCTGTGATGCTCAAAGGGTTCTTTTCTACTCTACTGCATAAACTTTTTAAGTTTTGTACTGACCTTCCAAGATCTGTAACTCCCAGACCTTTCTCTGCAGTATCCTCAGAGAGGCTTCCAGGTATTGATTATAGGATACTCAAAGTGAAATGGATTCTAATAAATGATGTAGGGTTTTGATTATGTATACACGACTCAATAATGAGTAAATTATTATTTTAAAGGTGAGACACTTACCTAATGCCAGCCATAGTGTTGCCAAATTTTTTTTTTCATATTTAACTTTAACACTGTGATTTGCTGAACCTGTTGTGAGAAATTCAAGGTATCTTGGAAGTTATCCAAATGCCAGTGGTTCATCTTCCAGAAGAAATCTCATATATGCACAATCATAGGGCCTGAACTTTTATGAGTCAGTAGCATTAATGGTGACTCCATGTTGCTCCATCCCAATGACAGGGCAAAGGAAGTTGACAACCCAGGGAGAGAGGATAGAGTTTAAAATCCCTCTTATACAGAATATAAAATCAACCTTCAGTAAAGTAGATAGTAGATATTATTGTCCTTCCTATCCAAACAGTATTGCCGCCAACACTTTAGATTTAGAGATTCCATCCACATAGTACTCTGACCTTCCTTGTCCATTTTTTCAACTTCTCTTGGTTTCATCGGTGTTAAAGGAATAATAAGCAGAATATGTAGAAGTTGACAAACAGCAGTCTTTTATGGTTTTCAAATTATATATATATTTAATCTGCTACTTTAAATCAATTCAATGTATAATTGGTATATTTACATAATTATATTATTGTGAGGTGTGTGTGTGGGGGTGTGTGTGCATGTGCGTGTATAATTTCTTCTAACTAAAAATTTCTTAACACTATCCTTATATCTCAGGGCAGATCACAGTCAGATCTATAACAAAATGTCTAAGAATTAGATGAAAAAGGTAGTGCAGAAGATGGACTTCTTGGACTCCTCTCTACTTCATGATTCTTTAAGAAATTAATCTAATTAGAAACAAGTCAAATTTA